AGCAGGGAGCCCCCGCTCCCCCGGAGCCTCCCCAGACCTCTCTGCCTCTCGACAAGCCGCAGCAGGATTCGGACCCCTGCGCTGGAGCCGGCGTCACCCACCTGCCCAGCATGCGGACGCCGACAGCGATGATCGTGGGGCTGGTGCTGTGCCCCTGCGGGCTCCTGCTGACGCTCACGGGCACGCTGGCCCCCAGCTGGAGGCAGGTGAGCCTCGTACCCGACCAGCCCCTTGACCTCGTCTTCGAGCAGGGCATCTGGGACATGTGCAGAGAGCGGCAGAGCACCCACGACCGCCAGTGCGGGCAGCCAGATGAGCTGGGCTACTTTGTGCAGGTGCCCGTGCGGGTGGCCCAGGGGCTGATGCCCACTTCCCTCGTGCTTACCCTCCTGGGCTTGGTGGTGGCCGCCTTGGGGGTTCGTTGCTGGCAGAAGGAGCCACGGCACGTGGTGGCTGGCGTGGCAGGGCTTGTGCTGCTCCTCTCAGGGCTGCTGAGCCTCATCCCCCCCTCCTGGTACACCCATGAGCTGTGGGCACTGCCCGCACCAGCTGGCAGCACACTGGCTGTAGGCTACAGCCTGGTGCTGAGCTACTTGGGAAGCTGTCTGGAGATCTTGGGGGGACTGGCCCTCACCCTTAGCTTCCACCACTGCTGCAAGGAGCTCAGGGCCCCCAGACTGCCCCCCAGCCCCGTGCTGGAGGTTGGGTCATGCTCCACCATTGCGGCTTACCGCAGTCCCTGGGACGCGCTGGAGAATGAGCAGGATGGAGAACAGTGGAAGAGCACCCTGCCCTGTGATGCTGACCTGTAGCCCCAGCACAGGGACAGCAGCAGGCACCGGCCCACCCCCCTGGCACCGAGAGCAACACTGGCTTCTGCCCCTCCAAGCCACGCCCTTCTCTCGGGGCGCCTCAGAGCAGGATGGAAACAAGACCAAGGACCTGAATCTCTGCAACATCCTCACAAGCCTGCTGTGCTCCAGGTGTCAGAACTGTGCCAAACCTGTGCTGGGTTGAGGACCAGCTCTGGCTGCAGGTCGTCCATGCAGCTTTCAGCTCACCCCCCTGCACCGTGCAGCCGCTTGGGCAAAGGCAACTGCTGTGTTCTCACATAACCCATGTACAAGTTAGCAGTGTGTAGCACTGAGAGCTAGGAACTGGGGAGTGGAGCACCTCCCACATGTCTCTGCTGAACTCAGGGCTGTGCACACAGCAAAATAAAGAGGAATGGGTCTGTGCTGTGGGATGGTTGTGGGATTTCTGCCAGAGAGACTGGGCTGAGAGCCAGTGGGCAGGGCTAACCCAGCTCCCCCGTGCTTTGCCTAAAGGAGGGAGGAAAGGTCTAAACAATGGGACAGGTGGCTTTTATAGCACCTTCCTCAAGGACTTTTCCCCCACGGTCAAAATAAGCTCTTGTAAGAGGTTTCTCCTTCCTTAAGTACAGCCACTTCAGGAGAAAAAAAACAGATCACAGGGGGGAAAAAAGTAGCATATATTTCCCCTTTCATCATTAACTTGGTGTGAGGCAGTAAAACTGGTCTCACTGGTTTGTAAGGGACACTCAGGAGGTCAGAAATGTGCTATAAAATCCTGCTTGCCCCCTGTATAACAGGGCAAGAGCTGAGGCAGCTTCCTTGCAGAGCTGTTCGGACAGATTCCTACCACAGCTGAGCCCAGAGCACCCTGGTTAGTAAGCTAAGCCTCACTGCAGAGGCACTTGGATCGAGATGCCCTAAGTGTGGTTAAGGGATGGTACAGGATGCACCCTGCAGTGGGGGATCGGATTCAGGCGGCTCAGAGAATGCCTGGGGGCTGCAGACTTCCTGAAACCTCCCCTCTCCCCAAAGCTTTTTACTCTGGATTGTAAACTCCCTAGAGCTTAGAGATCTGGGAAAAGCAAACCAACCTCTCTTCCCCAGCCCACACACAAACCACAGTGGCACCAGAGATGCTGCACCACGTTCCTTTATGAAAATACAGTGTTGGAGTGAGATGGTCCCTTCCTCAGTGGGGCTGGCAGCTCCTGCAGAGATCATAGGTGCATGCATCAGGGATGAGTCTGAGCCAGCCTCCTACAGACCCAGGGTGGTAGGAGGGTCCTTAAGAGGGGCTACTCCAGGTGCTGCTCACCTCTTTCCCATCATAAGCTTCATTCACAAAGGTATCAGTCTTGGGGGGAAGCTCTTCCTCTTCCTCATCCTCTTCTTCAGGGTCGCTTTCACGGTGGTACAAGGTCAGCACCCGGGTAGAGGCAGTACTTGAGGTCCTGGGGAGGAATAAAGTACACTGAGGATGGCATGGCCACCTCCTGGAGATGGGGCAGATCCCAAGGTCCCTCTACAACGCCAGTAACAGCCTGCTGGAGTCATCAGAGCTTTCCACATAGCCCAGGAGTGCTGCAGGACACCACGCTGCCCCTGGGTGGAGAGACTGTGCCTCTCTCCATCCCCAGAGCTCACCTCCTCCGCCTGTCCCGCCTCCGCATGTAAGCCAGGGCCCCCACGGCAGCAGCAGCCAGCAGCAGCAGCACAGCCACCCCCAGGGCAATGGGTCCTGCCACAGGCTGCACCTCTGCCTCCTCGCAGTAATCACCACGATAGCCCAGGGCGCAGTGACACGTCACCCGCCCAGCCTCGATGGCACAGTCCCCACGCAGGTTACACGTCTCACTGCTGCACGGTATTGCCCCCAGAACCTCCTCGGTGCTAGGGGATGCCAGAAAGGGCTCTCCCTGCTCTTGGGGGCCAGGGGCAGTAGGCAGACTGGGACCGGGCTGCCGAGGCTTTGGTGCAGGTGTGGGTATGGCTGGTTTCTCCTCTTCCACGTGGGACATCCCTGATGGTGCTGCCATGGGGATCTGTGTCCTCACCTCCATGGAGGGGCCTGGAGGAATGGGTATAGATCAGCAGAGATCCAGGTGAGACTCCCCCTTCCTAAACTGGCGGAGACTGAGGAGGTCCTCCCTGTGTCAAGCCAGTACCCCTGCATGCCCTGGCTGTGGGCAGGCACTCACAGTCAGACTCGTCGGAGCCGTCGATGCAGTCAGGGTGTCCATCACAGACCTGCTCTCTGGAGATGCAGCTCTGGAGGTCACGGCAGGCCTTGAGCGGGGCTGGGCAGGGCAGCGCCACTTTGCATTCCACCCCACGCACCAGGTGGTAGCCAGGGGAGCAGCGACACAGGCGTCCAGCAGGGTTGGGCAGGCAGAGCTGGGCACAGCCCCCATTGCTCTTTGTACAGCCATTGGTGCCTGCCAAAACAGCCAGGGTGAGCAGGGCTGTTAGGAGGCACAGCTCAACTCCACAGATGCCCGGGGCTGGGGCAGCCTCGGACCCACCTTCCTGCAAGAACTGGCTGTAAATCCTCATGGTTATCAACTCCTTCTCCAACGGGAACCACCAGCTCTCAGCCCGCTCCAGCCGGCTGTGCCAGATCTTGCTGGAACCTTGGTGACACAAGGGGTCAAGCACTGCCCTGCCTCCTCCCACAGGGGTGCCCAGGATGGGAGATTGGGAGCCCCAGCCTCCCCTTCACCCCAGGGAGGGGAAGCCTGCACCCCACAGGGACCGGCAGAGCAGAGACCCAATTCCTAGTGCAGTAGGAGGAGCTGGACAAAGCATAGCAAGCAGACTCACTGTTGGCTGAGGTCGTGCTCCAGAGCAGAAAGCCTTCTCCCATGGTGAAGAACGAGAGGCCGTGCAGCCCCTCCCGCACCACCCGGTAGTGGGATCCATCCAGCTCGATGCTGCTTATGGTGCCTCTTTCTGCGGGGCACAGACGCAGGGACATCAGATGTGGGGGCACAGGGTGTTCTGAGCTGCCCCTCAGGGCTGTGCCTTCCCGACTGAGTGCCTGCACCGCTCCTGCTCCCGGCAGTGCCCCGGCTTAGCCCACACTCACCGCGGTCTGCCCAGTACAGCCGGGTGCCAGCACCTCCGAAGGCCAGGCCGGTGGGAGCCCGGGCTCTCTTCCAGACTGCCCTGCGGCCAGTGCCATCCATGGCCGCGCACTCCACAGCGGCGCCAGGCC